ATTTCACGTAACGTAAAATTTTATTTTAGAGACGTGCTGCATCAACAGAAAAAAGCGGGAGGACATTTTAGTGGAGCGAGGAGCGGTGTTGAGCGGAGCGGCTTAGTGCGAATTAGAGCGGAGGAGCGGGCGGAGCCAACAGCCTCGTGAGCGAGGAGCGGAAATTCTCACCGCTCCGCTCCACTCACATGCTCTGGTGCGAATTAGAGCGGAGGAGCGGGCAGAGCCAACAGCCTCGTGAGCGAGGAGCGGAAGTTCTCACCGCTCCGCTCCGCTCACATGCTCTGCTATACAAAGTGGTTTCTCTTTTAATTGATGTTACAATCGAAATCAAGGGTGGATTAACCAAAAGGTGAAGGTAGGCAGTCACCTGGGCCCCCTGAAACTGTGGGCCCCATGAACACAGAATTTCCAGAAGTTACATTTATGGATATATGATAATACGATAATTTAAATTATAGCTGCATATCTGTTATTTGCATTTTTTTTTTCAGAATAGACAAAGTTGTCCCCTGTCCCCGCTGTAATGGACTATTCCTACTCTGAAGCTTAGTGCTACCCAGCTTCCTTTTTGCACTGGAGTCTAGCAGGAGGTTACTGGTTGTTTCACTGCCAAGCGAACTGGAACAAAGCAGCCTGACAGCGGAGGAAAACGGCGTGAAGATACAAGACTAACATTACATTTCCTGTGTCTTTGCTACTATCCTGCTTGAGAGGCAGACAAATTGTGAAAAGCTGTAGAGAGAACACAAATGAAATGAACGTATGCAAAAATGTAAGACTAAACTTAGGTGAGGAGTAAGGCATAGGCTATCCTAGGCTACAGCATGGGGCCATGACAGAAGACAGAACGGTTAAACTTCTTAAATTTGGCGCATTGATCAACCGGTCAGCAGATTTTACCAACAGCATCCCCACCCCCACCCTGATCGGTTAGTTTCACCGCTGGTATCCTGCACTTTGATTAGCATGTTATTGATGATCCATCTTTTAAAATTCCCTCTAGTTTCTCTTTCAACTCCCATGTCTGCCTAGGGCCCCCAGAGAAGTTACTCCACCCTTGATTGTAATGTTGTAATGCAGACTGACAACATTAATTTTAAACGTGATTCAGTTATGGCAGGATGTTATGGGGGGACAATCCCCGTAGCAGCTCTGCAGAGGGGTTTATTGTAACAAAAATGAACACAAAGGGAGAACCAGGAAATAAATGGACTGCATTGGGTCAAAAACAAGACAGGTAAAACAACCAAGTATCCATAAGGAAAACTAAGATAAAAAGTATAATTAAGAAGACATGCAGGGAAATAGTAGAACACTAATAGCACAGGAACGTTCACAATAACGAGGTAACACAACTGAACTCAAGGCAACGGCCACAACAACCAACTAAGGAACAGAATAAAGGCAGTTGAATACACTGATAAGGCTAACAAGGGGCAACGAGGAGCAGGTGGGGTCAATTTTAACAGATACAGCAAAGATACAAACACTGAAACAAGGGAAACTAAACAAGCAGGGAACAGGGAGTAAAAAACAAAGAACTAACATAAATACACAAACACCTGATGAACTAAGAAAACAGAAAATAACGAAGGTTAAATATCTAGCTTGAACCCACAACAAAAGGAGAATTGGGATAGCAGCCACTCACTTAAGCTGTTATGCCACACAGTGGCCTAGGGAGCAGGGGAAACACACTAAGGTAATACCAAACAGAATGGCCAGCGACACCTGCTGGCCAAACGGGGAGAAAACGCATGGGACAGGGCCAGATAGATTCTAATCGTGACATTTATTGGCTTTCATGACCAAACTGAACCCTTCATCTGTATTGCCTGGTTTCCCTTCCTAGCTGTCCCTGAGACTGTTGTCACCGTGTCACAGGAAACTGGTAAGTGATGGGGCTCGGGGCTACTGATTAGACGAGTGGCTCCAAAACAAGGTGTACAAAAATCAGGCTAAAGAAAATGAGGCTGAAAAATGCAAACAAAAAGGTACAACAAACTAAACCCAGCCGCACAAATCCAGAAGTTGGTGAACCAAACCGACCTACACTTAAAAGGCAATGATGAGGATTGATGAGAGACAGCTTCTTCCTGCTCAGAGCAGGACCACACAGAGCTTACTCAATTACCTGATTATAAATACAGCACAGGTGTAAAATGTGATTTGTAGTACTGGATGTGAATTCTATTAATGATGAAAAACATAACTGCCTATTAACTAGTTAAACTTTAATAAGTTTCATGAGTATCACAGCTGGTCATTACATTTAGGCCTAATTTAAGCCGCGGTATAACTTAACTTCTACACTATAGTAATGGATTCTTTATTGATCCCCATGGGTAAATTCACTTTACACCTCCCCCAACTTGCCCTCTGTAGATGAGAGCAAGCTGGCTGCAAAGGGCGGCCACCCGTAGCAGCACCCAGGGGGCTGGGGGTTGAGGACCTGGCTGAAGGACCCACAGATGTGCTGAGGCTGGGGCTCAAACTGGTGACCTTCTGATCAGAGGCACAGAGGCTTAACCCACAGAGTCGCACTCTAAACCAGGGGTCACCAACCTTTTTGAAACTGAGAGCTACTTCCCGGGTACTGAGCCATACGAAGGGCTACCAGAAAAGACTTTACCTAAACTTAACTGAACTTCATCTATAATAAACATGTTTTAAATGCTTTTTTAAGATATTGTCATTTTCAAATCTATATAAATGGAAATGTGATTAAAGAAGAATAGCAACAGGATAAAATTAAATTTTAGATGCTGCTCACTGGTAAATTGTGCTATTTTTAGAACAGGTCCGCGGGCGACTGATGTGGTCCTTGGGGGCGCCCTGGTGCCCGTGGGCACCATGTTGGTGACCCCTGCTCTAAACACTGTATGCTACCTACACGCTAGGCCTACAGAAGGTTGGTCTGTGGATTAAAGTGAAGAAGTGTGTGCTGTTCTCAAGTTCTATTGAACATTTACATATTGTGGTTGGTTTTTCTACAGAAAATGTGGTAAAAATACAGATGTAAAAATGATCGAGACAGACGGATTTTTTTTCAGGTTTATTTTTGAAACACAGCCACACAGCACTGACATTATTGTTAAAGGCTTGATTCTTGACCACATCCCATGATGAACGTGTGACTCACTTTGGTGCTGACCATGCCTGTTGTTCACCTGGCCATGTGGTTAGTGATTACTCAGGGTGCAATCAGCTAACTACACTGCCTGGTGACCACACAGGACAATCCACCTTCATATGTATATTTATCTCCTGCTACGCTCCACTCACCCAATAACACCTTGTCAACTGGTAACACTAATGGTGGCTTCTTATCGAGCCCCACTGAGTAGGTGCATTACTCACCCAGACTCATGGAGTATTCACTCTACTCACCCAACATCATGGAGTATTCACTTTACTCACCCAGTCCTAGTGAGTATAAATATCCTCCCGAGATCCAGGCAAAAATATATTTTTTAAATATTATAATTTTTTTACATTTTCTAAAAAAAATATTTGAGGGGAAGATGAAATTGGCACGGTTCACAACGCCACATATGTTATCTTGAAGTCCAAACTGTCCTCTTTAAGGAACATCAGGACTTAGATGAATGGTACTTGTAGTGCGAAAGATATGAGCAAAAGCATAATGTCCTCTACAGAGCAGGAGAATGAATTGCAGGACCTCAGGAGGTTAAATTACTTTACACACCCACACGCCTGTACACATTACTCTCCCAAGCTCAATGCAAAGCATGCCATAAACATCAGACTTGGTAATAACCAGAGAAACCTCCATAAATTAACGCCTGAATCTGAAAAGAAATCTACTGCAAGAAAGGAAGTACGGAAAAATACAAGCATTCCTGTTTCACCAAGGGAGGTCAAAGAGGCAGAGAGGAAACAGCTCTGTGTTTCATGGAAACGGCCTGTTGTGTTGGCAGTATAGCTAGTGATTGTGGTGTGTGTCAAACAATCAATAACTACACTGCCTGCAAACCAGGCCCCAGTGCTCATCCCAGCAGCAATGGAAGCCTAACAGCGGCTGAAAATGCAAATTAGTTGAACCGTAAGCAAACAAGTAATAATTTCACAGGACAGCTTATCTCAGGGATGTAATTTCTATTAATGTGTCCACTGAATAAAGTTTTAAACTCCTTTGTAATAATTCACGCTATTTATGTCCATGACAGCCTTGGGCAGTGAGGCTCAGGCTCTCACACCTGGTGCCATAAAAACCATTGTTGAAACGGCCCGTGCTTATCCTAATAAATATGCTTCAGAACTCATTTGCCAAATGTGCATTCCAGGTTGTATAATGAGTTAGGTTTCAATTGCAATAAAATAGCAATCATTTCAGCAACAGCTTCCCGGTGTGGGGAACAGTCATGGCGTCAGCTCTAGTCATACACCACATTTAATATAAGAATTTGGAATTAATCATATCTATCTATCTATCTAATCTTCCAATTTCCAGTTATTCTAATGTCCAAATGTCTATTATTTACAATCGAGTACACTTCTTAGTTCTTAGATGTACCTGTGACAGCGGCCGCTTCCAGTCACCAGCCCCTCCGCGTCGTTCCCGTGGTCCCCTGGCCTTGGCTTTATAGCGGCAGCGGCGGCAGAACTTCAAACCAAGCGCTGGCAGGAGCGGGACTTATTGGACAGCGGGAAACTGGGCGCTAGCGAACTGGGACGAGGCGGGCTAATTGGCAAGGGGACCGGCCAGCGGACGAAGCCCAGCCAAGAGCTCTCAGTGTTTTAGCAACCGCTTCCATTGTAAGCTGCCTTAACTGTACACGAACTCCTGACATGTAATATCACGTCCATGTAATACTATCTTGTATTGTGTATTATGAGACTAAAAAAAAGCTTCCATTCTCTCCTATTAAATATTTCGGTATTCATTGTAAGGATTTAAACAACAATATCCCATGAAATATGTAAACAAACACACACACACACACACACACACACACACACACACACACAGAAATACACACACAAATACGAGAAAAAAATGTCTATATATATATATATATAAATCATATTATTTTAGGGCATTCGTTTTTTTAATTCACATACATTCAAATTAAGAGTAAGACTCAAGACGTAATATACAGAAGAAAAGAAACTCCAAATCTGGTCGGTCTTCACCATTATTGTTTTTTTGTGAATTATTTTTTAGTCCTATTTTTATTTATTTGTTTTGAGACATACCACACCATATAGTCTGGTCCACAAGAACGTGAGTTGTCCTTTCATATTTCATTTTCTTTTTGCTGAATAAGCCACTGGTGCGGATGGCAATGTAAATATATAACCCCGACAGTGAAGTTATGAAGGTTTTACTGCCTTCTGTCTACCTCCGGGTTGGACTGGACAGAAGCATCATTCACGTCTGGATATTTGTTTCTATTGTCATTTGGACTTAATGGGTTCCAATAGAGTGCCTTTTCTGGCACATAAAAACCGCCATCATCTGCTCTCGTGTAATATCTGGCAGTTGGTGTAAAATGCAACTGGTATATACGAGGAAATGAGGTCTGTCAAGGTCTTAAGCAGCTGCCTGAGGAAGCCATTGGCGTTCGTCTTACCTGTCCAATTAAACAGCCTGGGGACCAAACCCAGGAACCACGAGGCAGGTCTTCATCCGGAGTCCTTGGTTCGGGGAGGGGTGGTAGGGGCGGGGGGATGGGGGAGTGCAGGAATTAAATAATAAAGTTTAGCTGTGTGGACCTTCTTTGGAGACAATAAAAAAATGTATCATCTCCAGTTGCATTTCCTTCATGTCGTTATGCTGGATTCACGGGGGCAGCGGACAGCGGCTGTGTTGCCGAAGTGTTACCGCAGTAACGGTGTTTGCATGAAGACGCTTTCCTTTCCCTTCGTGCCTGGACTTGCCCGCTCAACGCATACTGGCAGCTCATAATTTAATCAGGGTGTATGAGTCTCTGTTAGGCTATTCCTGTTAGCAAACAAGCACTTAGCCTTAACCCCTTACGTCCTTAAGTGCTTTTAATCATATTATAGCTTATAGTCCCTTAGCTGGTGGCACGCGGTGCCCTGTCCTCTTTATCCCCTTAGGCCTCGGTTTACTTGATGAAGAATTATACTTTCATTCAGGCACGCTAATTGTTTGACTAGCTTCCATATACGACCAAAGTGGAACGACTTCCAGCTATTGCACAGGGAGCAAAGTAGGAGAAAGTAAATGTTACTTCTGCTTCTTTGTGATCATACTGTTAAATTATAGTGACAGTTTTCCTGATATAAGCAAAGCTGACTTATCTTATGCAACTTTTGTCTCCTTTTAAGGGTTTGGGTCTTCCAGTGCTTTCTCTAGTTAGTCACACTCAAACCCTTATTTTAATCTTATTTCTAAAAATGTGTGTGTGTGTGTATGTATATATATATATATATATATATATATATATATATCTCATAACTGGGTTGTTAAAATTGAATGATCATCTATAAGTTGCACCTGTTGAGGTCCTCTCTGAGTGCCTTCTGTAAAAGGGAAAGCTATTTCGTTCTGTTTGACCGTTGTTAGCTTGCCCCGCAATGCATGCTGGGAAAGTCCTTTAGCTATCTATATTAGGAGTGCAGCAGCGTGCCCCGTGCCTTCACAGCTGTGAGTCACCGCTCTCAATGGGCCCCTGATCACAGCTAGGTGTAGTACATTTGTTGCGCCGCTAACTGAGGCTCAACAACATGACCCCCTCCACCCCCACTCTCCATTCCAAATGGTATATCTGAGAGGTGCACTCTTTGTTCTGTATCGATCATGTACAGAGTTGGGTAATTCAGATCCAGAGAGTAAGAGTCTAGACCGGGATTTTGTTTCAACCAACCAGTTGAGTACTCTGTGACTGTGACTCTTTATGCTCAACTGGTTGGTTGAAATAAAATCCCGATCTGGAATTTTACTCTCTGGACCTGAATTACCCAACTCGGATCATATACATGTAATGTATGTGGTTCTGAAACCAGCATTGGGCTCAGGGCCACAGTGGGACTGAGTTTGAGCCCGGGAATGTCGAGTGGGGGGACAGGGGTGCTGGCAATACAATTTGTTGAGCAGGATGTGATATCCAGTCCGTTCCACAATCATCATGCCTCCCCCCAGTAATTTTCAACTCATAATTTGAGAACCACTGACCAACCAATAACTTAAACATAAAGTTATTCTGTTTTCCAACCCTTGTCACCAACCCATGACCAGAACAGGGCACCCAATTCTCCTGCACAGGCACTCCAGCATAGCTTGTGCTTGTAAACAGCTGTGCTCTGGTTTTTGAGTTAGTCCCAGTATTAATTTCCATTTAATGCCACTAGAGGGAGACAAAGGACAGAATCTCCAAACATCGTCATTTGGGATTCCATTGAAAGCTTCGCTTTCTATACCTGGCCCAATAAGTGGCTAGCTGTAAATGAATCAGTATGTCACACGTATTCGGCGGCGGGCAGTAACGAAGTACCATACTTTGCTTCAGTTTAGTACTTAAGTACGTTTTCTGAGTATCTGTACTTTATCTGAGTATTATTTTTTTTACTCCACTACTTTTGTAACAGTAATGCTGTTCTTTTGATTCCACTACATTTCTATGAAGGTTCTAATTGCTCATTCTTTTGACGTATTGCTTTTCTTAAATGCTTTTCTTATGTTTGCCATTGGAGAAAAAACAATCTCAGTAAACCTACGCCGTCACTGAAGTTGCTGTTGGGCAGTTATAAAGCTAGAGGTGAGTAACTGGGCAGGTTGTTTTATTTATTTTTTATGTTCTGAGGAAGTTGCATCTACAGTAATTCCACTGTATGCCTGATGGACGCATGTGCACGAACACACACACACAAACACACACACACACACACACGCACACACACAGAGCCTGTGTCAGAACACTGCAGGTGTGGTGGGTATTAGGTAAGAAATTGAAAATGACAATGCCTTTGTCAATTCAATTGTGTTTCTATAGTCATTGTATCATATTCCACAAGCTTTTTATTCTACAGGCTGTTTCAGAGTCATTAGATTCTGTAACTGCCTTATGATAACAATAAAATAATGCATTGTCATTAAAATAGAAAATTTTGAATACTTAAATATTTTAAAAATCCTCCGGTGCATTAACTCAAGTCAAAATCTGACTGAACAACTTTCACTTGTATTGGAGTAATGTTTAACCAGTAGTATCTATATTTTGACTCAAGTAATGGAGTTGTGTACTTTGTCCACCTCTGCACATATTATGGGGAAATTGACTCGAACCAGCACCCTACTGTGTTGTGAAGTACTTAGTGTATGTGCTTCAACCTCCCCACACAAATAAATATTGGCCTGATAGAATTTTTATATTGTACTACATACATCTCACACACAACCGATGAATCTTTTTTCTTGCATTTAAATTAAGAGTTTTGCTTGTGTTTAAGTGCAAATATCTTTCAACTTTCCCAAAGCCTAAATATTGGCAACATATAATGATGATGAAGTGAATCTAAAATCCCAATATTCGTCTGAAGTCACCTTGTTATCCAGCTGGTTCTAACATAATCTTTAAAGTTCTATTTGGAAAACACAGGCTCACTAAATATTTAGCTCTTTTGAGACTAATTCTGATATGGTTTAAAATAAGTCTAAAATGAGGCATGAATGTTAGGTAAATTCAGAATCAAAGATCCTGACAGTTCTTGAGGGTAGATTGTTTTTATTGATTTGCTTTTGCTTAAATTCCATAGAAGTGCATACCACAGTAGAAATATAATGTGAATATTAACAAAAATATAACACAAAATACCCAAGCACATTGAAATGAAGGCAAAATTCAAAAATATACTTCTATTCAACTTTATTGTCTGTTTATTCCATGTAGTGTCACACCAAGTCTGGAGCCTGTTCCTGGAATATCGGGATACTTGGCTCTGGACCCTCCAGTCAGGATGTCAGATGAAAACATACATCAAATAGTATTTAATTTGAACAAACCTTGATTAGAATTTAAAATTCAGGGGGAATATGTTTCCTACTTTCCCTGGAAACTGATTGGCTGTCCATCTTCAGTACTGACTTGCCCAATCGGTGTCATAGCGACCTTGAGGTTATCCCAGTGTAAGGCTGAGTATGCCGTAAAATGAATGCTGGTCCACGGACTAAGAACTCCCAGTTTCCACATTCCCGGCCAGCGAGATAAAATGGAGCTCTCTGCACACACATAACTAGGCCAGGATTCGAATCCACAGCTGTGCACGTCCAACACAGAGCCCCTGTATGGGCAGTGACAGTGCACATCGTGATGGCTTGCTGCCCCCAATGCCCAAGTTAGGACCTGCGATCGGCCGCTGAAACAAACAGCAATGTGCCCTTTTATTTAATTCCTCTCACGAGGAACAATTCTCAGCATATCTTGTTTCCATACTGAATCAGTATTTTAAACAGCCATCATTGCTGCTAGTTACTAGAAGGAACATGATCACATTACACACTCACTATTGTTGGCTCTTGAGAAATAGCAGTGGGGACATTCAGTGGCGAAGTGATTTATAATCGTTCTTCATTGCAGCTACTCTCCTTTGGGAATATGCACATTAGCATTTTAGTTAAAACTGATAAATGCCTGGATATTGAAATTTTACTGTAAAAGCCCTTTTAAAATAAGATGCAGCTCTTAACACTTATTAAATGCATATCTCACACAGCCTATAACTTGCTATGCATGTTTACTGTCACAACTTTGCTAAGCAATCTATCCATGTTTGAGCCACTGAACTGGATCATGGGATAGCTGGATGACAGCCCCCCCCAGCAGGGGGCATGAGGCAGTTTTACACCCTGGAGAAGATGCTTACCCACCCTCCTAAATAATGTAGGAGCAAACGAAGGGCTTGCTACAGCACTGTCCCTTTACACCTCAAACACATGCAGCACTTTATAAATTTATATTTTATTGCCAAACAATAATTTTCTACTTTAATTGTGTTAAACTGATGTTCAGATAATAATGTTATCATGCTGACATTCACAGAACTTTTGTTAAAATGTAAAATATGGAAATTATGATGTATCAATGTTACAGTAAGAACCTTCTCTGTCTCCTTTGAGACATAACGCTAGCTGAAGTTCTGGGAACTTTCCGTTAGCTGGGTTACTAGGCGGATTCTCAAGTTCATGCCCTTAGTGGTCCAGTTTGCAGTTTTCCCTGTCCACCACAAGGGGGGGACAGTGGTCCATGCTCGGTGAGACAGGCACCTCAAGTCTATGGAACATGACAAATTATTCCAGAAGCCTGAGACACGATTCAATGACTAGATGGCATGTGCGATATATGGCAGCTATGTTAAGTTGAATTTAGCTTTTGTTGAAAAAATTTTGGTTCGCGTGAAGATAATCAAGTTCAAAACAATAGCACAAATGTCACGACCTCCCTGAGCACATAAGAATGGCATCAGTCAGTTTTGAACCACACTGGTGTCTTAGTGATTGACCTGAAAAAATGTTTTTCAAGAAAGAAAATGTCACTCATCCACCTCACACTTGAGTATTAGGTGACAAATATGTTCTTTCATAAATCTGGGTTTTGGCACAAGTGAACTCACAGATTCCTCTGTTTAACCACCCATTGCTGAACGATCCAGCTCAACCAAAGGTGATCATGCAGGAGATTTGAAACAGGCATAGCTTTTGTTGCCCACTGAGCCATGCCTTGTCGTGAGCGCTATCACCTTTCTATCGTTCATGGTGCTTCATTCCTGCGAGGACAAGCCATACCCTGCGAATGGATGCCGAGGGCGGTGGAAGTGCTGTATCCATTGCACCTACTGACTAGACAGATGCTCATATAACCAGGATTTACCACCAGCGTTTCGCTAAATGAACATACGGATCCAAAAAAGACACATGGGGTATTGGGTGAATATTTCAGAGAATTACATAACTGGTGCACCACCTAGTGTCAACTATGTGCGCGATTAGATGCAACGCCTGAAAGATCACCAAAGGAGTCCTGGAGGAAGGTAAAGATGATGTTCATGCATATATTTACATTTTATGTATTTATTAGATGTTTTACACATTACATTTTTCAGAAAGTAGGGTCAGACCTGGAGTAATTGGAGGTTAAGGGCCACGGTCAGGGGCCCCAATGATGCATCACTCTGATGACCCTGTGATTTGAACTGGTGACCTTCCAATCACTATATATATATAAAGATATATATATATATATATATATAGCTAAAATAAAATAAACACAGGAACCCAAGCTTACACATTGTATTTTATATATATGTTTATATATCATTAGCTCAGCTCTCCCTTATATATATCAACTTTGCAATAGTAGAAACAGGTAACAGGAGAGCATTTTAACTAACAGAAAATAAACACCTCTCGTCTTATAACTGATTTTTATTTTTCATGCTCAATGGGTCACATAATTAGAAATAATGATTTTTGGAGAGTTATTACATGCTAGGTATAATGCTTTATTGCGTTAATTTATTCTGTTTTCCAGGTAGAATATCCTGATTTAGAATAAACATAAATATTTAATGTATTTTAGGAGTGAATGGATTGAAAATTCCTTCGTTGTGTGTGCAGTAATTCCATCTTTTTTTTGGCTCTTATAAGTCCATTTCAGCTTCTTGTTTTCCACCTGACTTGGGTGTCTGCTCACGGGGGGAGCTGATGCCTGAAACCACGTCCCTCAGAATTGATCCCGCAACCCAAGCTGATACATTGTATCTGGTGGCATGTGAACTGAGCATCTCCGGAAAGCTGAGAAGGAGAGGTGCATTTTAACAGCTGGGGTGTGGTTTTAGCCTTTAGGGACGGGACACACCCAAGTGTCCCCAGGGGTCAAGGTGACCCAATAGGAAACTATATAAGCAAGAGCCCAGCTCTGCCCTGTCATTACCCTTCTATGCTGGGTCGAGCAGGTAGGATTCATATACACACGATGATGATGAATATATCAGACAGGAATGACCCCAACTGGTGAGATTCCTGTTCTTAAGTGGTTTACATGTGAGTCAAATCTCATTGATCAAATAGGATTCATACTTCTCTTAGTAATCATATATCATAGTCAAATTTCTCAATTGTGTATTTTTTTTATTCAAATGGCTCCATTCACTTGACTGTTTTGAACTTTTCTAACATTGAAGAAGCTCTCTTGGGTTTCCTCTGATGTTTTTCTTAGTATTTTTCGGAGGGGGGGGATGCCATTGCTTCAAGACTTCAAGACTTCAAGACTTGCTTGAGAGTGTGCTTTTTTGGAGCACGGCGATCCCTTGTCACGTACAAAACTTCCGAAGTGTGCAACCGAGTGTTTGGGAACAGGTTATGATGGCTTCTTCTCTGCATTTCTCTCCCCCCTCAGGAGTCAGAGAACAGAGATGCTTGCTCTGGTGACCTCTGTGGCAGCTGTTCTTCTGCTTCCGGGACAGTCTGCCACATACAACTGCTCATCAGTCTACGACAGGATCCCAGGTGAGCTCATCCCACCAAGTCTGAAGCTTCATCATCCACCTATCAGAAAACGAGAGATGGCAGCAGTGACTGGAGATGTTGTCCTACCTTCTGTCCCCCTCCTGTTCAGGGACTGAAGACCTCAAGGTGGTCTGTGGGACTGCTCTGATCACAGTGGACGTGAACCTCTGTGCCGCTATGTGGGCAGGATTTGACCCAGCAAGGCTGGCCATGAATGGCAAGTACAACAACAGTCTGTGCCGTGGTACCATTGATGCCCAAGCTGACCCGCCCATCGTTCGTTTCGAGCTGCCAGTCAATCACACCGAAGAGAGCTCATGCTGGCAGACCTTGCAGGTGAGCTGGACATGGTGCTAATGCTAATATTAATGCTAGCACGTTTACCACGATTGTCCTCATGCATGGGCAGGTATGTGAGAACGAAAAGACTGTGTTTAGTTCTCCTGGTGAGTAAAATATGCCAGTCAATGATCTAATATGGATTATAAAACATTATTGAATAACTTGGAGTGATCATGCTAAGCTAAAACCATATGACTCCATATCATTTTGTCCTTAAATTTTTTTTTATTCACGGGGACAGGAAACGATGCTTAATGACAGAAAAGGGACTTATCTCTGCAACGTGGCACATTCTCAAAGATTGATTAATATAGACAATTTGGGAAAACAGCCAGCATGTACAGATTTGTCATGTAGCATCACCATCAAACGGTAGATAATACTTCAATAGCGTTTCTCAAATTAGTTGCAAAGTCCCAGTTTATCTTGACATCTTATTACATTTCCATGTTGTAATGCGAAAGCTGTTCTCTGTGATAATGTTGTTCTCTGCGATAAAGCTGTTCGCTGTGACGCTGTAGAGTATTTCAAATAACTGAATAATTTCGCGATAAATCTGGCAACTTCAGGATGGGACCAAAAAGTACAATAACGACATATTTTTATGGGTGCATGGGTAGACTAATAAAAGGGGTTCAAGCTTTGTTCTGAATGTCATTCTTTCAATGTTTTTTTGTGACGTGTTATACATCCTGATCCGGATGCTAACTTGTACAATGTTCATTCATTGTAAGCTCAGCCTAGTTGCAGTCATGCCTAGTTGGCTCCCAGATACTTATATGCTTGTGATGTAAAATGGTGTGTTTCCCTGAGCGACACTGTGGAAAAGGATACTAGTGAAGGTGCTTTTGGCCAGACCTCCAGCATCCAGGCCTTGGTGGTTGGCAGCTACATCGACATGCCAAAGTCTGCAGATGCTGTCATCAGCTACTCTCCAGACCTTTCCTACCACTTCTCCTGCCATTATCCCCTCGTGTATTTCTTCAACAACAGTCAGATAACAGCGTGAGTCTGGCTGCCAAGACACACATACACACACACACACACATCGGTTTGTAATTATATATTTGTGGGGACTCTCCATTCATTTCTATGGGGAAAACTCTAATCCCAACATGACGACCTTAACCCCTACCCAGACCTAACCTTAACCATAAGTAATCAAACAAAATACAAGGCTTTCAGCATTTTTAGCTTTTTGATTGCATTCAGAAATATTTGTGGGGACCCGAAAAACGGTCCCCACAACATGAAAATGACAGGTCTTTATCACATTGTGGGGACATTTGGTCCTCACAATGTAATATAAACACAATACACACACACACACACACACATATATATATATATATAAATGAAATGTTAATAAATGCTCTGTCTCCTCAAGGTCTTCAATCTCAGTGAGTACCAATGAACACCACGGCCACTTCTTCAGCTCCCTCAGCATGGGTGTTTACAATGTGAGTATCGGGTTTCCACATTTCCTCCCACATGACAGGAAAAAAATAGTGAGATCCCTGAATAAAAACATATTACAGCACAATGCTGAGTTACGGCATACACTCAAAGTTTTTCTTGGGAAAAAAAAAATACTTTGGAAGTCTCTGGAAATGTCTGAAGTCATCTTGTGAATCGTGAAATTACTTGAAGATTGTATGCGCTGCTTCACTTGATTACATGTTTCTAAAAAGTCAGTAATTTCTCATGCAGCTCAATGATATCTCCAATTACTTCTCCAGTAACACTTCCTGCAGAAATAGCGTAAATAACAAAGGTACTTGCCTTAATTAGAAATGAGATTTCCAGCACATCTCCCAACCATCCAGCACATCTCCCATCCATCCAGCACATCTCCCATCCATCCAGCACAGAACCTGGAGTCCATCCCAGGAAGCACAGGGCACAGAAGCAACCTGGACAGTTTACCACCCCATTACAAGGCACTTAGTCACATGCAATAAGCAATCAAGCCTGTTGGACTATGGGAAGACACCCAAGCAATATGGGGAGAACATTCACACAGGATTTAAGCTATGGCAGTGCGAAGCAGTGCTGCAGCTCACCAAGCTACTGCGTTAACTGCACTAAGCTACTGTGTTAACTGCAGAACAGTGTTAAATGAATATCCATGCATCCATTTTCTGTAACCGTCTGTCCCAATCAGGGTCTTGGGGGGTCCGGAGCCTTTCCCGGAGGCTATGGGTGCAAGGCAGAGAACAACTCAGGATAGGGCACCAACCCATAGCAGGGCACACTCACACACCAGTCACTCACACACCGTTCATTCACACACCAGTCACTCACACACCAGTCACTCACACATAAACTATGGGGAATTCGGTAACTCCAGTTAGCTTCAGCATGGTTTTGGATTGTGGGGGGAAACAAGAATACCTGGTGAAAACACCATGATGGCACGGGGAGAACATGCAAACTCCATTTACACGGAGACTCGAACTCAGAGGTGTGAGGCAACAGTGCTAACCACAGCGCCACAGTGCTGTCCCCGCATTCCTCCCAATAAAAGCAAAATACAGTGCTGATTTTTGCACTTTTCCTAAGGTTAAAGAGAAAGTCCAGCTTACTTAGTTTTAAAGGCACTAAATATCTAGTCAAACTATAACTTTAGTGGGCAACCTTTCAAGATCCAAAAGTCAAAAGCTAATGTCAGGCTCTGCCCTCAGACTGACCACACTCTGCCACATCCTGCCACACCCTTGACCTTTCCACCTTTGCTGGAATTCCAGGACAGTAGCTATAGTTACCCGCTCATCATTCCAGAAGCCGGACTCGCCTTACGTACCAAAGTCTTTGTCGAGGTCAAAGCCACCAACCTCACTGGGAAGTAAGATATGTCCTTTTTTACACACAGTACACGAGTTTCTCACTGTGAGCCTGTGCTTTTATATTGACAATATTCTCCTCTCTACCCAGCTTTCACGTGCTGCTTGACCACTGCTTCGCAACACCCCTGCCTTATAATGTGTTGAGTGGTGAACAACACAGCTTCTTCACAGGGTACAAGGCCATTTGCTCATGTGATATCTCGCAAGTTCTGCCTCCCCCTGTTGATTTTGCAGGATGTGAGCTATTTTTGAGTAGTCGCCTGGCTTTAGTTCTGCTGTCACTTGGCCAACATGCATCTCACTACCCTAGGTGTCAACTGGATAAACAGACAGTCATGGAGAAGAATGGAATGGGCTTGAGTGCAAGGTTCTTCTTCGAGGTTTTCCGCTTCCTCCAGCACCAGGACAGGGACAAATCTAGCATGTACCTCCACTGCATCGTGAAGCTCTGTAAACCCAGCAAGTGTCAGGTGCTCTTCTACAAGGATACAGTAGAGTCCCTTCTCTCACTGCCCATGTGTTGTGTGCCAGACAGGGTGGGGGGAAGGGTCATGAGGTTTAATGTGCTGGTAGATGGGGAATTGCCCCAACCAATAGAAATGTCTTGTTTCAGGTGTGCTCCAGAAGGGGAAGAAGGTCCCAGGATTTATTTGACTTGCCATCGGCTAATTCCACAACAGTGTCTGCAGGACCAATCTATACCCAAAATGATGGTATGGGCTGTCTGCTTTGTGTAAAACTGTAATGCTTTCGCTATACTTCATCTCCAGTGAACCGGTTCAGTGGCCCGGGATTGAAGCTCAGTCGATTAGTTAATTAGACCTGTCTGGTGCAGTTGGCCTGCATAATTCTATGCCATTTACCGACACTCATGAATGCTGTGATTATCGAAGTGCACAAAACCTACTCTGAGCACATGTTTCATAACTTAACAAATTCAGATTAATATAACCATGGCATATAGTCTCCTTTTCTGTTATTTTTACAACAGATGACAGAAAGCAGCCTTCTTTGTTGGTGTTCAGTAAGTAGATGTGTCTAACTTGTCTGCCATAAACAGATTGACTAAGCAACAGAACTCCTTTAACATGTCCATACATCCCGGCATGCATGTTGAGAGAGCTCAAGGTGTTTCTCTGCACTCCACAGGTGTTGGGGGTCGACCAGAAGAGAAACTCCATAACCCTAACCTGGTGGGTGGGGTACTGTTGGGCTCAGGAGGCACTATACTGCTGATCTTGGGCGGGATGTTTGTACTCAAGAAATTTTCCAGGCAAGAAAATGCATTCCGTGCTTCCATTTGGCTGCATCAATGGCCTTGCAGCCTCCTCATGCCTCTGTGACCTTGTGTGCTGCCATCGATCTATTAACGGCCAAAGTCATTCGATTCCCGGTAGGATTTCTTTTTCAATCTATCCTGGTTTGGGGGATAGGGGGTCTGCCCTGGAAGTGAGTCCATTGCAGAGTACATGCACGCATACGCTACAAGCAACTAGAAGACACCAAGAAGATTGACTGTCTTTGGACTGTGGAGGGAACCTGGTGGTAATGGTGAGTCCCTGGTGGAAACATGCAAACTTCATGCAGGCAGGACTGCGCTTCAATCCCCCAACTCTGGAGGTGTAAGGCATGAGTACTACTGAACTACTATAGGATACCTTTAGCCATTTTAGAAAGTTCCATGCACCTCTGTCTTACAGATTTATGTACTGGGCAGTATAAATACGCATTGCCCTGGCGTGCTGGTTCCACCTATCGCTCTGTAGTCTTCTTAAAGTCTTAAATGGGCAAAACAAAAATGCCCAAAAGCTGGATGCATTTTGTATTGATATGCGGTTTGATTCACTTGGGATTAACTAGCTTTATTTTCTGATACTTAGAATTGACCTGTTGATTTTTAACACTGGGGTAATTGCAGCATTTGGTAAGATGTTTGAAACATAATAACGTCAAGTCAGCGTACTGAAAAGCAGCGCAGTGGAGAGAAAGTGAATGGAGTATTTGGTGAAGTGAAGGGAGTTTCGAGTGTTTTTTAATGGACCGCCATATAATACAGGCTCAAAATGGACCTTCAGTGAGTCATCACACATTTGTATGGGTTTTTGTGTCCATTAGGGGCCTGGTACATTTAAAATGAAAGAATTGTAATTTGCCAAATTGCCCTCTCATTCTCATCTTAATAAATTAGTGGTGTTAAAACGCTGCTGTTTTCTCACAAATGTTTGACATAACTTAGGGAGCCCATTGCAGTTGCTATGGTGGTGTAGTGGTTTGTGGTGTTGCTTCACTCCTCCAGTACTAGGGTCAGAGACCCTGCCTCTGTGGATGTGTAATTTGAATGTTCTCCTTGTGTCGCCCTGGGAGTCCCCCCCCCCCCCCACACTTCAAAGTCATGCCAAAATTTCGGTATTTGTAAATGCCCTGTGATGAATTGGTGGATTCTGGGACAGGCCCCTTTGACTAAACGAGTATGGAAACTAAACAGCCAATTAAGTCTAACCAGAACAAAAAGTAACAATAAGTTTGATGTGTCAGCACCCAGAATGCTTAGCACCAACGTACCAATACTGAATTTTACCCAGCAAATAGATATCAGTGTGCTGTTTTGTGTGGTTGCTGTGACATCGCAGCACTGTGCAAACCCTCATGCTCACATTATGCTCCTCAAAAAAATAAATAAAATGAGGAGGATGCAAACCAGGCAGCATGCAAGGATTTGATTCCTTTAATAAACAGTCTATAAGTTAAGTAAATGCAATGAAAACATTCAAAAATAAACTGACCAGCAAACACATACAGAGAGTGTTGAGTGCTTGACAGTATAATTTTGTGAGCAATCAGAAATTAGCAGGGAGTGTTTTATAAGTTGAAATTCAAAAATGTTAAAGGCAGACAGGTTACCATGGCAACATCATTTCTGAGTGGCATTTATGCAGCGAACGGTAGAATCTGCACTGGTGTTTGTTGATGATAAACTGTTGTGATAAACAGTGCTTGTGGCTCCCTGACTGTGTCGTCAGCCTTGTTTACCAGTCAGACACAAAGCTGATTCAGTTCAAAGTTTGCCAGATGTCTGTGAGGAGAGCGTTCAGTGTTGCGGAGAAATCCCCACTCAGGGTGCTCAGTCTGCCATGCAGGGGGTGCTCTCGCACCCACTGCGTCTCCGGTCCCTCTGTCTGCCGCTTGACCCAAGTGTCAAAGTGCTCAATATAGGCCATGGATCTATGGCAGAACTGGGTGACACCTTGGGAGAGCTGCTCACCCAAGGCCCCTGAGGGAAGCTTGGTGGCTGTGGCTCGCAGTGCCTTCGCTGCCTCCCCCACCCCCCGGCCCAGCTTGGCTGCAGCGTCCCGCCATCGCTCGCTCTTGTTGGCGTCACCCAACTTGCCCGTTGCCTTGGACACCTGCGCGTCAAAGCTGTCCAGGTGCAACTGCAGCTCCTGTATACCTTGATCCAGCGTAAGGACGACCCAGCGCATGGACTCCTGGCAAGCCGCGGGGCCCGAAGACTCCTCCAGTCTCCCGACATAATGATGGAGTCTACTGCAGAGTTCCCGGACATTACTGCCGAAGATGGTCTGGAGGTGGTGGGTGTGGGTAGCCAAGCAGGTCTGGAAGTGCCCGGGACCCAGCCTGGACCGGCCGGTGTAGGATGACAGCTTCTCCTGCAGTCTGCTCAACTCCTGCATCAGGTGTACATGCAGTTTCTCAGACCCTACACTCAGCTTGTGCTCAAACTCTTCCACATGGGGGTTTTGGCCTTCCAATGTGTCTTGGGTGTTCATGTCTCTACTATCCATGTGGTTCTTCAAATATCTGAAATATTTATAAAGGAATAAAGAGAGTGATACAAATTTGGAGATTCTTGCTTTAGGCATACAAGCTACAATTGGCTACAAAAATAAATTCTGCATGCCAGTAAGGCGCCCTCTTCGTTGAACCTACGCAACATCCTTGGGAGTTTCCGTTTTCACGTTTTCGGTTTTATCTATTATCCAATTGATGGATTTATCCCAGGGGTCTTCTCTGCTGGAAGAGCTGCCGCCGTTCGGAAATGGGCGTGCTGAAACGGGGCACAAACAGCTGGTGAGCATCAGTCTCGCTGGTTTGACAGCTGTGGAGGAGATACTCACCCGCACTTGTCAGCAGGCAGATAGCTAGAAGAGCAATCCACGAGTACTTCATTTTGCTAAAAGCAAAGAATAAAACAGAATAGATGAAATATAAAAATTTAATATGCGCCCAAATAATGCTTTCGTTCAAAAATCCCGATTCAAAATGTCTTGTATTGATGTCCCCATGCTGCAGGGGGCAGTGTAATGTGTGTCAGTGTATCTGCTATTCGTGTCTCAGTAAGGCCCTTACCTGTAAGTTACTGTGTGTGAGGACGTTCCTCTCTCGAATTCCTTCCTTTATAGTTTAGGGCCGTGCTTATCTCTACGACCTGCAGCCTCACTATGTCAATAAACACCACGTGGAGGGTCAGGCCAGGCATGGGAGTAAATTATAATGAAAACCAGCCAATACAACCCCCCCCCCCCCCAAACGCTGCACCCAAAGTTATTCCCATGGGGCCAAGGATGTCAGCCATTGCTGAGGATGGCGGAGGTGGTGGCGTGACCTGCGTGTTTTTTTCCTGCAGCATTAAAATTCGAACACGATTCCACAACCAACATATATGACTGACAGCAGCCACATCCCAACTCTGCTGTAATGGATCACAAATAAGTGGGCCATCCAATATTGCTTGAGTATGCCCGTAAGAATGTTCACATGCCTACCTTATTTTAACATTTAAATAATAGATTATGCAATTAAAAAAATTGATAGCCTTGAGGCGCTGTGTACACTGTGTTCCAGCCAGCCCAACCAGAATGAACATGCAACGTGTTTGTTTCCTTAATAAAAAGGAGTTATTGGGTTGGCATCACGGTCGCTGCACAAGCCTGGCACCTAGAGGGGAAGACGGTGCCAGTTTTGGGGCGCCAGTGTTTCCTGAGAAAAGAAAAAAAACAAGAAAGCGTAGATGTTTGCTGTGGAAAATCACACCTGACCAATCGGTACCGACTTGTTTTTGTGACATTTATTGGTACAGGGGAGGTGTATTGCTGCGGACTGACCCCAGTGCAGTGCTTTTCTGTTTTCGAGCGCAGGTGGTATCCGTAACACCTGCGCTTGAAAGGTACTCGAAACACCTGCGCCCACGCAATACAGAGCCGCAGAGGTCAGAGTTCATGTGGGCCTTCCAGCCTGTGCTCTGAGGTGGACATGCATTCAGTCACGAGTTTCCTTTGCCCCGTTCCTGCAGGCACATTACGACCCTGTAGTGAGTTATTGGATAAATAAGCAGTTATTGGAGGTTTATTTGTGGCTATTTTGAAAAAAATAAACTTTTATCATTGCCATGCCTCATCCAATGCCCCCCCCCCCCATCCCGGGTGATGACTTGTACCGTTGCCCCCATCCCTTCACTGACTTAATGACCAAGGAAGCATTTGGGACTTAAGGCTAAGCTAGCAGAGAACCACCAATTTATAGAATGCGGTTCTGTTACTGTAATGGACTGTGACTCATCCTGAAGGTTCCACACAGAGATACCTCATGACTCAAACGCAGTTGCTTCTCGATATGTGTTAGCTGGCATGTTATGGGACCGCGGTCGGCGAGCAGGAGCACTCTGACAGTGACGTTGACACCCTAACTGCTCTTCTACGTGAAGTCAGGGGAGTATGTGAAAGTTCAGTGATCTTGTCACGGAATTATGACGCGAATGTAGTTATGACACAAACTGCTAATCAGATATGGGCTAAAGTCCATGCAAGCCACACTGTCACAGTCATAAATACATTGTGTCATATTGCTTGAGTTGAGACCAAAATTAATCACCTACAAATAATAAAGAACTTGTAAAAAAAAATAAAGAAAACCTTTTATCAGTTATAGAACGGATGTCCCAGTAAACTGAATATGTCATCTAAAAGGCTATCTCTTAAAAGACACACAAACAACTTGTACCTGATACACATTCAGTAGTGCTGGAAGGAGTCTGACATCGGAGGGGGACTGAATTTACCTGGCGGGGGGTGTGGGGGTGCGATGTATATCGTAACATCGCAGTGGGCAGACACGCACTAGTCACATCGTAAAAGGATGCAGTACAAGAAAGATTTTAAAATTATTTTAGAATAATAAAGATTTCATTATTTAAAATAAGACTAACACTGTTAAAGGTACAGTTTCACAACTGAAATATAACTGATCCATATGACAAAATGAGTTTTGTTTACTCAGGACTGCAATCTTTGGTATATATTGCATCCTCACTCTCTGCATATATAGCAAATTGGCCTCAGTAATGTGCAGATTCATAATAAAAGATAACGGACATGCTTTTTATTTATTGGGAAGGGGGGTTCTGCTGATATTGGGGGCTGCTATTTCTGACACCCCTCCACACATTCCACCTTACTCACTGTTACCCACTGTTACAGACTACAAAGAATTTACTTCAAACCAGAACTGTAGAGGTTTTTAAAGCCCAGTGCAGGGAAGTGTCGTGTAAAGTCGTGTGGAGGAATGTCAGGAGGTGAGATGTTAGGACTTGATTATGTACAGTGTGACATATACAAGTTTCAGAGACATTTAAGGAGGTAGTGTGTAGCTCAGGGGATTTGGGATCTGTGCCTGTATCCAAAAGGTTGTGGTATTGAATCCCATAGTGTGTGGAATAATTATATCATTGTTGGACCTTTGAGCAATATCCTTAATTCCAGCTGTTCTTAGGGACACCGGCTGACTCTGCTCTCTGACCCCAGACTTTCGGCACTTGGGTGATATTCTGAACAAAACCTACTAACAAATAATAGTACTTATCTCAGTGCAACACAGCAATAACACCCAGCAGGGACATTCAAAGAACCACAATCAGGACAGGAGTTTACTTCAGATTGCTTATTTTGTTCAAGAACTTTGTCAAGATTTCTGCGTTCACTGGATAAAAACAAAAACAAATTATGAAGAACTAAACCATAAACAAACAAACATAAATAACACAAATAATCATACAGTATGGTCTCCTATAACATGGCATTTATGAAAAACTATGTTAAACAAATTCTAACCACCAAAACACCCAGCATGACGACCTTAACCAATGCCCAGCCAAGGGCGTAACTTTGGCTGGAACATTGGGGGGGTTGAGGTCTCCACGCATTACAGGGGAAACATGATTATTGGGGGGGTTGTATTAGCTGGTTTTGATTTATTGGGGGGGTTACAACCCCCCCCATCCCCCCCGTAATTTATGCCCATGTGCCCAGCCATTACCTTAACTGTAAGGAACCAAACAAAAGATGAGACTTTTGCCGTTTTTAGTTTTTTGATTGCATTCACAGATCTTTGTGGGGACCTAAAAAGTGGTCCCCACAACATCAGAATGACAGGTTTTTATTACATTGTGGGGGATATTTGGTCCCCACAATGTTATATAAACATAATACACACATACACATACAGATAGACAGACAGACAGATAGACACACACATATGGACAGACAGACAGACACACATACAGACAGACAGACACAGACAGATACACACACAAGATAGAAACCAAAAAATAATTATTATGGATCTCACAATAAATATGGGCCTTTACTTTAAAAAAACACCTGAATTTTGCTTTTGGAAGTGGGTGTCAGAAGGATGTTACTTGTGAATAAAATGTGTTATATTACCATTTTAGCATGTTAAATGAGTGTTTTTCTTATTTAAAAGCTATAAAATGTGGAAGAATAGCAAAGCAAACACTTGCAAGATAAGACACATGGTGAACTGTAGGGATGTGCAGACTGATTTTGAAATCGATTTTCCCATTGTTTTCTAAATGGATACATTCTGCCTTGTATTAACAATTCAGGCTGCTGCTGGTGTAATGGTGAGGGTGCTGAGGTTTTCTGCTCCCCGGGGTTATACAGTTCTGGATCAGAATCACACAGCCTCTGCATTCGCAGTGAGTGTAGCCTGTCGGTGTGGCAACATCTGGCCAGATGGGGCATCACTGAATAGCAGCTTCTTCTCCCCAAAAACACATAATAAAATCACACTGAAGAACAATTATATAACTCAATCATCAATATCAGCCTGTGAAATAATTGTAGTTCCACACATGAATAGACACGAAGGCGAGAATCTAGGCTATATGGGGAAAGCAGCTTTTGGATACCAGTATTCTGCGAAAGAGGTATCTCGGAAGGTTGCCGTTAATTGGGGTGGTTAATAAAATCTCAGGAGTACTCATTTAAAAGAGCAGACTGGGTTCACCTTCTCTAGCATTAGCCAGTAACACCATCTACCTTCACGATTTGCCCACGGCAAGTGCTTTTGTTACCCAATTCATCAGTTTTTCCTTTGTTCCAGATAATTAACTCGCAATTTTTTTTTTTTAGGCAGTGGCTTAATTAAGTTCATAACGAGACGGAGAGTGACGTTTTGACGGCCCGTCAGCGCCTGATAAATAACCCGCATACGGAGCTGCGCACCTGCAATCCGACTCGCTTGTTTTGATGCTTTAACAGGCAATCAGGGAGAGCCCGACGACCCGAGAAATTACTCCCCCCATTTCACGGCGAAGGATCTGCGCTATTACGACACAAACTCTGAAAATGTCTTACGTCTGGATCCAGATTTATCAGCGTTTCTAGCGGTGACACAAAACCGTTAGCCTGCCCGTGTCCTTGTTTGTCACGCTCCTGTGGGTTTCAGGAGTTTTAGGAAATTGTTTTAATTAGCACCTGATCACCTTACTGCCCGTATCATTTCATCAGGAATTGAAAGCCATTTTAGT